GTCAGTCTGCTGGACAGCACCTCTCTGGTCCTGTGCCAACACCTGAGAGGGGGGTGGGGCTCTTGGGTTTCAGCTGAGAGTTGGGATCTACGTCATCTAGAAACAGCTCAATACCAACACTGAGTTCCTCTGGCCAGGGACTGCCAGCTGGCAGACAGCAGCTTCCCAGACATTACAGACTTCAGACCATGGCTGCCTATGGCGATTCCTCCTCCCATTCCCCATTCAGGTATCCCCTAAGAGCACTTGGTCAGTCTCCTGCCCTCTGTAACTCCCCGAGCAATTCGTACTGCTCCTTGTGATGGGCCAGTTCTCAGCGTGCCTAATCCCTCTACGAACTAGCTGGAGTCTGATGCTCCCAAAGGTTCCCACCCCCGGGCCCCATAATAGGACACTACTGTTTTCCTTCACTTCCACATATCCCGGGCCAAGTTGGGTAGGTACCTTCTCAGCAGTCCCTGTCCCTCATCCCCTAACACTTGGGTCTAGAGCCTATAATTACTTTTGTGCCTCCCCTCACCGCCCCCCCCAGGCATTGTCTCCTTGTGACTACACTGTGACAATCTCTTTCCAACCTCCTATCATGAGTACCTGGGCTCTTGTATCACTTTCTCCCCGCTCCCATCCCTTATTACTCTCATCCTCATTCTGTGCAACTTGGAACATCCATACGGACGATCCGGTCCTTATTCAATTCCCCTCTCTATTCCTGGACTCACTCGTCTCTGACTGAGTAACCACAGCACCCACTGGGGAACTTCTCTCTATTAGAAGCACCTTGCCTCGAAAGAACTAATTAACTTAAATGAGGCCTTATTATTGTGGACCCTAATCCAACAGTACTAGAACCTTTATAAGAAGGCGGGGGGTGGGGTGGGGGGTGGGGTGGGTGGGGTGGGGGGTGGTGGCGCCGACTAGGACACAGACCGACACAGAAGAATGACCATGTGGAGGCTCAGGCTGAAGTTGTCACTTGCAAGGCTCAAAGTGAGGCTTCAGTAGAAAACAGCCCTGTGGATCCCCCAACAGTGGACTTCCAGCCTCCCAAACTGGGAAGCAATCCCCTCTATTGTTAACCACAGCCTGTGGCAGCCTGAGCATGGCACTGTAGCAACTTACTCAATTCAGACCCCAGCGTCACAGCCACTGCTTGCCCTACCTGTCCCCTAGTGACATTCATCAACTCTGCTAAATCCAGACACCCACCTTGAATCTGAGAAGCTGAACAGTGTGTGTGTATGTGGAGAGAGACTCCTATAACATTGTTAAATAGCTTTTCCTAGGTTGATTATTCCTGAAACCCTCCTATGTGGGCCCAAAACAGTCCCCAAATCTCTATATCCAGAGGGTCCCCCCCCCATTTCCAAAGACGCTATTTACAAATTTCTCTGTCTTCAGAATCCTACCCTCATTTCTAACTCACATTATGATTCTGCCCACTCCTGACCTGGATCTGCTCCTGGGAGCCTCCTTCCATTCCACTCTGCCAGCTGTAGACCCATGAATGGGTCTCAGATCTAACGAAGGTCTCATCCCTGCTTCGATCTGCTTTCTCCTTTGCAAACATCCCGTGTCCTCTACCCCCTCTCCTCTTCAGCATCTCCCTTTACTCCATTCCTTCATGGCACTTGCCTGCCCACAACCATGCACTTGTCTCTCCTACTAACACTTCCCTGGCCCTTATCCTCTTCCAGAAATGTTCTATTCTGCTTTTTTTCAGTCCCCAAGTTTCTGAACAGTCACCCACACATGCTGGGTCTGGTCACTGACCACTTCATCAACAGTTCCCTGCTGCTGTTCCTACCCACATGTGCACTTGTCAGCTCCCGGACAATGTCAAGGATGAAAAGCTCAGCAGCTCCTTTCTTAAGCTCTCAACAGCCTTCCATGTGGCCAAACGCTCTCTCCTCTTCCCCCTTTCAGTCTCTGCCTCAGCTCCTGGTTTTCCTGTCCTGGCCAGGCTTTTCTCACTCCTCTGCTTTTCTCTGCTTGACCCCTGAGACCCTGTTCTATTTCTAGATGATCTCATCCAGGCCCATAACTTTAAATATTACTTAGGTTCTGATGCCTCTCAAATTTATAACTCTCTCTCTCTCTCTCTCTCTCTCTCTCTCTCTCTCTCTCTCTCTCTCTCTCTCTCCAGACACATAGATCTAACATGACACCTCCACTTAGATGACTCAGGGTGCCTCAAATCAAGTGTGCTTAGACAAGATCTCTCCATTTTCAACCCGCTCCCCATCTCAGTAAATGATCCCAGTGTCCACTCAGTGGCTCAGATAAGAAACACATGGCTCTCCCTCCTTTCCCGTGCTTTCCTGATGAGGTTTCTGCTTTGCGACCTGTCTAGACTCACCCGAATCTCTTCATCCCCATCTCACCCCTCGCCCACGCTGCGTCAGGAGTTCACTTGGAAACAGGAATAATTTCTGAACTGGCTTCCCTGTTTCCCTTCCGTGGTGGTCCAGGGAAGAGGGTGCCGTTCTGGGAGGAACTGGTTTCCTGCTGTGTGGAGAATGCTGCCAGCGGTGCTAATTGGATTAATTGATTTGCCCAAGGGGAGGTGTGTGTGAGATCCCTTTCTGCAGAACTTCCTTTAAAAACAGCACTTCCATTCAGAAAGCCAGATCAAGTGCCATTAACAAATTAATTCTGATTAGTGCTGCCCAAGCACTCAGACCTTAAGGCAACCCCATTCAGTCATCTTGGGCCTGGCCACCTAATAAAGTGGAAACTATCTGGACTGCAGAGGTGATTATTTTGATGCCTGTCTCCATCCCCAGAGGGCAAAGGAGTGGGATGTGATTTCACCACAGTCTCCTGAGGGAATTAACTACTTTCAAATTCTAAGTTATTAATTCCCCAACATGGCATCATGTCCATGAAAATGGATTTGGGGTACACATTTCTGCAGCCCTCTATTTAGGACCAAGTATGCAGCTCAATATTTGGATGAGTATTTGGTAAATATGTCCCCGCATAGTATCCTTGGTAACCCTTTGTCGTTTTATTCCACATTGCACTGCTTCTGTGATTGGCCTGGTAGATTTGGAAGTTAAACTAAACAGGTCCCTGTCCTACCAGACCTGACAGGTGGTGGCAGGGAGTCAGAGCACTGATCAGAAAAGAGCAGACCTTCCTTCTGCATGGCGAGTCATTCAAGATGAGAAAATGGGTCCAGGGGACTGGAGGGATGGCTCGGGGGTTAAGGGCACTTACTGTTCTTTCAGAGGACCTGAGTTTGGCCCAGCACCCACTAAAATATGCTGGGTCATAAACGCCTGTAACTCCAGCTCCAGGAATCCAGTACCTCCTCCCATCTCTACACTCATATGCCCATAGTCCCCCACACACCCAGGGGTGGGGAGAGAGATTCAAACAAACCTTTAAAAAGTGGATCAAGGTAACAGCAAGGAAGGGAGCTTAGGGAGGCCCGAGGCCCTGACACCAGAGTTGAGCTTGGCATGGTACAAGGGGCCCACCAACTCTGGAGGAAGAACTCTCTAGGGGGAGGGACTAGAACATGCAAACACTTATCATCTGGGAGCAGGCCCCTGGACATCTGACCAGCACAGACATCCTTGCTTACAGGTTGCGCTTTTGTGATTCCTAGAACAGGACAACACGTCCCTACACTGTGGCCAACTTTGTCCCCACTAATCTATGTGCCTAGGTGTCACCCTCCAGCCCACCGGCTTCTCTCACTCAGAGTTTCCCTACAAGACCTTCCAAATCCTATTTGGGTGTGTTCCTTCTGTTCTCCGGAGCCCTGGGGCGTTCATGAGACACCTGCTCTCCCTGTCCCATGTGGGTAAAGATGGCGTCCTCTCTACGCCTCTATCGCGGGATTGCATGGGGGCTTGGTCCTGTCCGACTCTCACACCCCAGAGCTTGCACACACAGAGTCTGAATTATGGCCTGGCCCTTTGCAATCCCTAGCAGTGGGTGAAGACTCCCAGAAGGCTGGCTTCTTGGTGCATGACATCCCACAGAGTCAAGAAAGGAAGCCATTCCTTCAGTGAACGCTGGCTTTTGTTTCAAAAGTCGCTTCTAGGAGATGAATAAAAACTTAAAGCTGGGGCTGGAGAGGTGGCTGAATTTATAAAAATCCTTGCTTTGCAAGCACACAGACCAGTTTGATTCTACTGAACTCATGTAAAGTTAAATAAAACAACAACAAAACACCACACAGGGCATAGTATAACACACTTGTAATCTCAGCATGGGGAGAGGCAGAGGTAGGTGGATCTCTGGAGCTTTCTGGACAGCCAGGCTTGCTGACTTTCTGAATTCCAGAACAGTGAGAGATCTTGTCTCAGAAAGTGTGTGGGGTGGGGTGGGGTGGGCGCGGGGTTGGGGGAAGACACCTGATGAATGACAGCTGAAGATGTCCTCTGACCTTTATATGTATACATGCGTACACATGTGCACCTGTATGCACATGAACATGAACACACACACACATACATACATACACACACATACACACATATATTCACACACATACACACATATATACATATACACACACACACATACACACAGGGAGGGGGTAACTAGATGTCTAATGAGGATGTTTAGAAGCTTCATAAGAACAGCCAGAGGAGCATGTGTCAGGCTGTATGTGAAAAGTCCTAGAACCAAGAAGCCAGGTAAAGAAGGGGCAGCTATACTCCCAGAGGGGGGCCCTGCACCCGATTCCCATCTGCCTTCTCTTCCAGGGACTCGAGTCTCCAAATGAACGTGCCACAGCCCACCATGACACAGCTGCTGGCTGTCGTCAGCACTCGGCGTTCCCAGATGACCCACACTCCGGGCTCCTTTCTCGCATCCGGAAAGCTAGAGTGTCATGGCGTAGGACGCAAAGGCCCCTCTGCTTCCAGGGACCTCCCCACTGTCCCACCCTGAGCTGAGGCTCCTGAGCTGCCGGCTCTGGCTGATGGAGGGAAAGCCGATGGGCATGAGGATGAGATGGAGATGGGCTGGGTGCTGCAGCTAACCTTTTAGGAGGACCGTCCTGGCCTTGGCCCACTCGCTCCTCCCGTCTGACGTCAGCAGGCCGATGGGAGGCAAGCGTTCATCCTCGCTGGACGCCATTTTGACTATCTTTCTCAACTGAGTGAACAGATCACCCTCACTGAGACGGCGGAAATTAATGACAACATCCAAGACAAAGAACTGTGGGGGAAACAGGTCAAACACATCACTTGTGGCAGCCAGCCCAAGGCTCCCAAGGCTTCACGGAGCCTTCAGGAAGCTCAGGCCCAAGGTTCCCAGGGGGGTTAATATTCCCGAGTTGTCTCATTTTGGAGAGCATCCAAAGCTGTCGACTGTACTCGACTCCAAGCTCTCTCTAGCACAGGTCTGATTAAACCTAGCTACGAGAAAGCTTTTTCCTTCTTCCTTCCTTCCTTCCTTCCTTCCTTCCTTCCTTCCTTCCTTCCTTCCTTCCTTCCTTCCTTCCTTCCTTTCTCCCTTCCTCCCTCCCTTCCTTTTTTCTTTCTTTCTTTTTTTTTGTGGCTTCTAGTGCATGCAAAATTCTCCTGTTTGCGGAGAGTCAGGTATAAACCGGTACAACCACTGTTGGAAGGCTGTGTCAATCAAAACTAAAAGCGCTTGTCTGACTCAGCAGCTGCACTTGTATATGCAGAGTTTAGCCTGGGGCTTAGGGAAGCACATTCATGTGTACCAGAAGAATATGAGAGAGTGTGTGTAAATCAGACTTCTTGTATTAGCAAGACAATAGAAAAAGCCCAGGTGCTCTTTTGGAGTAGACTGGGTAAGTAAAATGCAGTGCACCTATGCATTTTCCTATGAACTGGAACAAACAGCTACAGACAGAGCTGTGGGTGTATATCTAAACAACAACAACAACAACAAGAAGCCAACAGTCATGACAAATATTAAAATAGAAAACCAACACACAAAACACTAGGTACATCTGTGCACATTCATCTGTGTATGCACGAGCTATGCCTTGTGATGCTGGGCTTCTATAGCTCTAAAAGCCAGGGCCTTGGACTTGGTAAAGGGTATCAATCTTGACACATCCTGCTGCATCCTTTTCAGCATATGGACATGAGCAATTGCCCCACCCGTCACCCTCAGCGAAGTCCATGAAATCTGGTCTATGGTTGCTTCCAGAAGGCTTGAATAATGTGCCATTTGGAGGCTGAGAAATGTTTGATTTGACTTTCTTTGAATGAAAATGAAGAGAGTTTTTCACTTTGTGGCTGGCTGGTCAGGGGATCAGGTGGCTGGGAAGCATGCTGCTAACTTTTAAGCCTGCAAACAGTGGTCACATCTACCCTCAGATGATAGACTTTCCCCAAGCTCACAATTTTCTGAAATGAGCCCAGGAAGAAAACATTAGACGATAAGTAGAGAGTGTGGGTACGGAGGCAGGGATGGTTTCAGACTTAGGCTCTCAATATAAAAAGTCAGAAAGATCCCCAAACCCCCACTTTCTGTCACAAGAAATACTTTATGAGGCATCAGCATACAAGATACACAGTGTGGTGGGCACTGGGAAGGGGTCGGTAGCCTTCACGCTCACCTTGTTCCCTTGCCATGGGGACCCAGACTAGCCCTGTAGAACTGGCTGAAAACCTGAACTTTAGGATATAGAGCCCGCCCTTGGGCAGGTGGTAGGACTTGGAATCCTTCTTCTTCTTACACACACCATTAGCTTCCCTAAGCCTCATCTTCTCGCCTGTCAATGAAGACTCAAAGGCCTCTTCTACAGGGTCATTGTGAATAATTAAATGAAATTAATAAATGTAAGTTCTGGACCCACAGTCCTATACATGGGAGGTCTTTTCTGTTAGTTCTTACTCTGTCCATCCATCTAGTCCCCAGGAAGGACATTTACTATATGAGAATGAATAGCTGTGAAGATGAAGGTTCATTAGATGGGTTTTCAGCCTGACTCAGCTTCTCAGGGATAAGCATCCAGGGGGTGCATTCCCTAACTGAATATTCTATTCATTCTTAAATTACAGCTGTAAGAGAGAAATAGATTGACTGAGTAGGGAATCCTATTTGGGGGGCACCGTGCCCCAAGCTCACTGATCAGGAACACAAGTGCATGCACGCTTGTGAAGGAGTAGAAATAGATGGGAACTATATGCTACATATATGTGCCACTCTATGCTCCACGCCCCCTCCAAGTCTGAGAGCCTGTGACAATGGGCCACTTACCTGGTTGCAGCAGGCAACGATGACGTGCTCAGGCTCAGGCATGATGCTGCTCTTCTGGGCCACCAGCGTGTCCTGAGTATGGCCAGGAAGCCGGTAAGAGGAGAAGAGTCTGTAGTACTGCTTCATGCAGAGGGGCTGCCCTGAGAGCTGGCCTTTGGCCCAGTCCGTGGGGAGGGAGTGGCTGGAAGGGGAGAGCATAGAGAGGCAGGCAGGCAGGTGAGAGGATGGAGGAGGAGAGAGGCACTGAGGTGGCTTCTATGGTAACCTTATTTTTCCTTTTTGAAGGATTTTGCATCAAACTGAGGGCATGCTAAACAAATACTCTACCGCTGGGCTGCTACCCTATACTTTCTTGTGGTTAGGCTAAAGCTATACCAAACTTACAACTGCACTATGGCAGAGCTCATCTTCATTTTGTGAAGTAATGGAATGTTCCATTTCTGTGACTCATGGAGCACCTCACAGTTTCCCCAAACCTCTACAACTCCATCCTCACCACAGTCTCAGGCAATGCATGTGTAATTTTTGCCTTTTAAATCCCCTGTACCTTTGATTACATCAATCTTTTCTTGGCACACCTTTACCTCTACCCTGGTACTTATTGTCTTTTTAGAAAACTCCTCCTTCAAGAGCCAATTCTATATTATCTCTTCTGGAAACCTTCTCAAAGTTCAAAGTAGGAAGTTCTTTTTGTCATGTGGTTTCTAAATGATATGTCTATTCCATGCATCCATCCACCCATCCATCCATCCTTTTATCCATTCATCCACCAATCCATCATTATGCATGCTAAGTCATCCTTCTACCCATTCACCCATTTTATCCACCAAATCTATCAATTCATCAATTTATCCATTTCTCCAAATACTCATCCATTTATCTATCACCCATTCACTATCTCCATGTGTTTTAGGATATTATTTTAAGGTGTGTTACTTTTGTTTATGTTGCATTTGTTTAACTCTGTGACGCTGTGTTACTTTGCCTGTCTAAAACACCTGATAGTCTAATAAAGATCTGAACAGCCAGTAGCAAAGCAGGAGAAAGGATAGGTGGGGCTGGCAGGCAGAGAGAATATAGAGAGGGAGAAATCTGGGAGAAGAGAGCAAGGAACAAGAGAGAAGGAGGAGGACATCAGGGGCCAGCCACCCAGTTACACAACCAGCAACTGAGTAAGAAAGAAAAGTATACAAGAATAGAGAAAGGTAAAAGCCAGAGGCAAAAGCTAGATGGGACAATTTTAAGTTAAATAAAGCTGGCTAGCAATGAGCCAAGCTAAGGCTGCACATTTATAATTAAGAATAAGCCTTTGTGTGTGACTTATTTGGGAGTTGGGTGACAGGCCCCCATATAAGAGTAAAAAACAAACAACATTTTGGCACCCAACATGGGGCCTTATTTCCATGTAGGGCTTAAGAAAGCTGAGGGGAAAAAAGAGGATACAGCTCCTTTAAGAGTTTCTTCCTGCTGTCACACCCTTGAGCAGCCAGTACATTACATAGGAACAAAAAACTAAGTAAAAATGCCTGCCACAGTGCAAGCATTGGCATTCTAGAGCTCTAGAAAGGTTGAATGCAGTTCCTGGTCAGACAAAACTCCAATCAGGCCACAAGGTTTAGGATGGCTTTCATGATCCGAGAAGTGGGCAGAGCCAGCTGCCAGAGCCACAGCCAGAGGTCCCAGCCTGTGCAGCTTTGCAGTTTAAAGTTTGTGTAGTCAAAAAAGACTAGAGATATGCGATAAAAGAGGTCCAGATGTAAAAAACTTCTGAATAGGTTACAGTGTGTTTAACAATGTGTGTAGGCTTAAGACAGAAAGAAAAGGGTATAGACAGTCATAGAAAGAAAGAAATAGTTTAAAAATAAAGTCTTTAAAGAAAGAAGTAAAATAATATAAAAGAAAAAAGCCACATAAGATGGAAAATACACAGGGAATCTGAATCCTGTGTAGTATTGTGTTGATTTTGAATTTTTTGATGACTGATGGGCAAGAAACAGATGCTGGCAGACATGGGTTTGTGAACAGGACTGCAAAGTTGAATCAATCTAGATACTTTAGGGCTATCTTAGCTTTAAAAATCAAGTCAAAAATATATTTGTCAAATGGAAATAAAAAATGCTTTGAAGTTTTGTTCCCACAGGAGACAAGAAGTTGTGGATTTCTTTAGGAATAAAATGAATGAGGTGTCATCAGGGAAGACCCCCTAAATCTTGTTTAGAGAAAACAATGCCCATATTCCCAAGAGTTGGGGGGTGTGGGTGGTTTTTGGTTATTTGGTGCGTTATGGATGTTTGTTGTAATTTAGGGGAATATAGAAATATAGGACAAAAAGACAACTAGTAATTTCAGATACTTTTCATTGGCATGGGTTTTGGTATATTGATACACATTTAAAGTTATTTTGTTTACACTGTATATATGTTTCTATCTTGCTTAAATGATTTTTGTATATTGATAAAAATTTAAGGTTATTTTTATTACAACATATTGTATGTATATTTTTATTTTTTTGAGGTTTTGTGCCTATGAAGTTCATTTGTTCTAGTTTTTAAAAGCTGTTATTATAATCTGTATAGGATAATCAGGAACATAGATTAGTGGTTAGTCATTTATAGCAATCAAAATTGTAAATATGTTAGGTATGCTTTCCAGATCATATAGAGATATATTTTAGATAGATAGATGGTCTTCAAGCCTTTCAAAGACCTACTATGGAATTTAAAATGTTTTGTTAACTTAGGGCTTTTCATGACAATGAGACAGATCTGCTCCTAGCAGTACCAATTTACTTCAGAGATGATGGGCATCAAAAATACTCCTTATGGAGTTTGTTTTCAATGTGGCAAGGCTAGCCATTTGGGCAAGAAGCTGCTCTTGCCTGGACTGTTAGACAGTGTGTTGTATAAACTGGACATGCAGGACCCACGGGAACATGACTTCTGAACTTTGCCCAAACTAGGCAGGATGGTGCTTCAGGGTTCCTGCTTCACAGGAGAAACTTCCAGACATTCTTCAGGACACAGAGGAAAGTGACTGACAAACTTTGCCAATATAGGTGGGATAGTCTTTCAAATTTCCTGCTTCATTGAAAAGTCTGCCTGATACTCTGGGCCTGTAGGCTGAAGATGGATACCCCAACATTGCAGAGGAATTTTGGGTGACTGTCTGGGCAGCTAAATGTCTCTGTTGTTAGATAATATTACACCTTTCTGGGTCTTTGATGGATTTGAAGACTAGATAGTTATAGTTACCATTTTTCTTAGTTATGATAGAAACTAAGTTAGGTGTAAAACTTTGGATTCACTAAGATAGGATAGATAATGCATTATTTTCTTTGAATATGCTAACTAAAAATGGACAGAATATTGTAAATGCAATTCCTACTTGATAATTTTTTTTTGTATATAGTTTGCTATGTTAAAGTTAAAACATTTATTTTTATTTAGACAAAAAGGAGGAAATGTTGTAGAATATCATTTTAAGGTGTGTGACTTTTGTTTATGTTGCATTTGTTTAACTCTGTGAAGCTGTGTTACTGTGTCTATCTAAAACACCTGATGGTCTAGTAAAAAGCAAAGCAAGAGAAAGGATACGCAGGGCTAGCAGGCAGAGAGAATATAGAGAGGGAGAAATCTGGGAGAAGAGAGCAAGGAATGAGAGAGAAGGAGGAGGACATCAGGGACCAGCCACCCAGCTACACAACCAGCAACTGAGTAAGAAAGAAAAGTATACAAGAATAGAGAAAGGTAAAAGCCCAGAGGCAAAAGCTAGATGGGATAATTTTAAGTTAAGTAAAGCTGGCTAGCAATGAGCCAAGCTAAGGCCAGACATTTATAGCTAAGAGTAAGCCATTGTGTGCGACTAATTTGGGAGCTGGGTGGCAGGTCTCCCAAAAAGAATAAAAAACAAAGTACAACAACAACCATGTATCCTCCCATCCATCTATCGATCCATCCATCCATCCATCCATCCACCCAGATATCATGCATCTATCCATCTGCCATTCAACCACCCACACATCCACCATGCATCTGTCTATCCATATATACATCCACCATCCAACCACAACTGTCATCCATCCATCCATACACCTATCTGTTGTGGAATATTATTTTAACTAGGCAAAGATGTGTTACATTTGTTTATGCTGCAGAATATTACTTTAACTGTGTAAAGGTGTGCTACTTTTGTTTACACTGCATTTTTTAAAATTATGTAATGATGTGTTGCATTTGTTTCACCTTGCCTGCCTAAGGCACCTGATTGGTCTAAAAAAGGGCTGAATGGCCAATAGTTAGGAGGAGAGAGATAGGCAGGATTGCCAGGCAGAAAGAATAAATAGGAGAAGAAACCCAGGCTTGAGGAAAGAATGAGAGAAGGAGGAGGAGAGAAGGAGGGAGACGCTTGGGATCAGGAGTCAAGCAGTCTCCAGTCAGCAGATATGAGAAGCAGTAAAAGTAAGCTATACAGAAGGAAAGAAAAATAAAAAGCCCTGAGGCAAAATGGAGATAAAGAGAAGCAGGTTCATTTAAGTTAAAAGAGATAACTAGAAATGAGCCTAAGATAGAACAAGCATTCAAAACTAGTAATAAGCTGGACGGCAGTGGTGCATGCCTTTAATTCCAGCACTCGGGACGCAGAGCCAGGTGGATCTCTGTGAGTTCGAGACCAGCATAGATTATAGAGCAAGATCCAGGACAGGCACCAAAACTACACAGAGGAATCCTGTCTTGAAAAACCAAACCAACCAAACAAACAAACAATAAGTCTCCATGTCATGATTTTGGAACTGGTTGGTGACCAAAAAGAAAAAAACCTGGTACATCCATCCACCTATCATCTAATCCATCATATGTCTATCCATGCACTATCTAGTCATCCATCCAGCTACTATCAATACATTCATTTATTCATATACCACTATCACGCACTAACTCAGTAGTTCTCAACATGTAGGTCACAATCCATTTGGGTAGTCAAACAACCCTTTTATAGGGGTCATCTAAGACCATCTGAAAACACAGATATTTACATTATGATTCATAACAATAGCAAAATTACAGTTATGAAGTAGTAATGAAAATAATTTTATGGTTGGGGGTGAACACAACATAAGGAACTACATTAAAGGGTTGCAACATTAGAAAGATTTAGAACCACTGCATTAACCCATCCATTCATCTGTCTATCAATTCACTATCCATCCATCCATCAACATGCATTTATAAATCTGTCTATTAAAGATCCATCCATCCATCCACTAAGTCACCATATATGTCTTCTGTGGGTTGAATGAGAAATGCTCCACCGTAGGTTCATGTATTTGAACATTTGACCTCCATTTGATGTCACCATTTGGGGGAGATTATAGAACCCTTAGGAGGTACAGACTTGGTGGAAGAAGTATATTTCAGGGGGGGGGCGCTTTAAGCGTTTATAGCTTCCTCCTACTTTCCTGAGCTCCCCCTCCACTCATCTCTGTCTCTCTGTCTCTGTCTCTCTCTGTCTGTTTGTTTCTCTCTCCTTTATACATGCTGTTCAAATGTGTTCAGGCAGCTTTCTTTTCAGAGTACGGGTCCTGGGATGTGTTGCTGGGGTGCACGTCGCAAATCGGCAATCAGGAGAATTTCAGGCATATTGAGTGGCGGGCAGGGGCAGGAGTCCAGGGCTAAGGGGAAGTCTTATGAAGACCTGCTTGACTGAGCTGAGCCCAAAGGGGAAAAAGCTTCCAGGCAGGTAGGCTAGGTGGAGTGCCCACAGCGCTGCCCCGCAAAATGAAGCTATTGCATGGCAATTTCATGACAACCTGTGGTGAGATGAGTGACAGGATCCAAAAGCACCTTAGCAATGGTGAGATCTTTTGATAACTGAATTCCATACTAAAACATGCTGTCCTGTATTTCATAAACTTGGTCTAGTGACTACTTTTTTGTAGAAGTCACTACAAAATTTGAAAATAGAGACCCTTCTCCAGAGATAGTTTGGGACTTACCAGTGGACCAGTGGAAGGCAGAAAGTAAGCCAGCAGGGTCACAACTGAGTGAAGTGCACAGAAAAGGCTACAAAAACGGGCAGGGACAGCCTCTGGGCTGCTGTGGCAGGGTAGAAGTTGGCACCCTATGCTTGGTGCATTAAAAAGCCCCTGGAGCTTTGACATGCAGGAGCATGATTTGAATTACACTGGCTTTTTTCTTTTGGAGCTAAAGGTTGAACTTAGGGCCTCGCCCATGCTAAGCATACACACCATCACAGAAACACAGCATTCCCAGCTCTGGAGTGTGTGTGTGTGTGTGTGTGTGTGTGTGTGTGTGTGTGTGTGTGTGGTTTGGTTTGGTTTTTGTTAGTACTAAGGCCTAAACCCAGGGCCTCTCCCATGTAAGGCAAGTGCTCTACAACTGAACTATATTCCCAGCATGTCCTATCCTGTTTTGTTTTTTAATGGCCTAGCTTCTGTAGGGAGAGGATCAAAGTCTGTCCCAGAAAGCACCAGGAAGAAGGCTGCAGGCAAGGTGTGAAAATAATGTGGGCCAGCTAGGAAGGAAGATGTTTGGGAACCAGCTGGGGTAGGTGGTAGCCACTTCTAAGCAGCGTGGATGTCATGGAGGAAGAAAGAGTGACCCCAAGAGACTTGTGGATCTGCCCGTCCAGGTTGTACTACTGCCTGTTCTGAGAAGGCAGGATGGCTGAGGGATGAGTGCACATGGAAGAAACATACAAAGCTCACTGGACCCCTTTGTAGTGACCAGGAGATGCCCCAGTGGGGATGCCTGGGGTTCGGGGAAGGAATGGGGTTTTATTTTGTATCCACCTGTGAACCTTTTGGGAGAAGGCAAGAGGCCTAATTTCTTGTTCTCTTCCCACATCAACACACTGGAAAGTGAATGGTTACTGGAGCGTCCTAGCCAGGCACTCTTTCAAATGTTGCAACCTTGTGATATTTGCAAGTACAGGGCACAGGAAACTTTGTGTGGGCTTGTATGGAAATAGGTGTCTGTGTGTGTGCATGAACTGTGCTCACAGATACACATGTATCTGCATACTCATGTGAGAGTCGGGGGTCAAGCCTGCTGGTAATGCCTGGCTCCACGGTCCCTGCACTCTGCTGCCGGGCTCGGAATCGTTCCTCCTCTACTCTGCAAGCAAGGGTGCTGAAAGGCACAAGCTCTCTGAAGACAGAGATGGTACGTGAATGGAGGAGCGAGTTCCAGAAGGAGCCCTGGAAGCCTGGTAAGAAAGGGCAGCCCACAGGCCTGGCAGCCCAGTGTGGAAAAAGAGCTATCAGACTGGCTCCAAGCCAACGCTCCCACCACCGTCTTAAACAATGCAGACTCAATCGGGCTGACCCCAGGGCCGGAGCCTCGCCCCTCTTCCCCTCTTCCCCAGAGAGAATGTATGTCTTAGCTTCTGTCCCAAGGTTGGGTAAACACTGACCTGGATCCACACAGACCAGAGAGGGAAGGCTACCCTGTGCACTCCTTGCCCTTCCGTGTCTCAGCTGTGTGGCCATGGATAAGTTACTAAACTTCTCCGAGCTTCACTTCCTCATCTATGCCTGGGACATTGCTGTCGACCCCTCCTTCTTTCCAGCACCTGTGGCTCTTTGCTCTCCCCAGTGTCCCTAGTGCCCTGGGGTTGACTGGGAGGGGGACCTTCCTCCTAGAACGGAGAACTCACTGCCGGAGCAGCCCCCACCCCCTGTAGGAGGAGCCTATGTTCAGCCCCCACCCCCTGTAGGAGGAGCCTATGTTCAGCCCCCACCCCCGTAGGAGGAGCCTATGTTCGCTAAGCTGGGGTGGGCATGTGGACACCGAGGCTCCCAATGGGGAGACTGTCATCCTGCTGGCACCGTTTCAGCACCCCTCCCTAACACCGCCTTCCCGGGATCTCCAGACCCAAACTGTCTAGTTCACACCACGGGAGGAAAGCGGAGGCTGGGAGGGAGGGGCACTTTCAAAGGTCAGAGAAAGGAATGCTTAATAGCCAGGAGAGCCTGCCTGAAGGCCGTCCTGATGCTGGGCAGTGGGCAAGGGACACCACGCGGCTGGTGTGCTCTCCCTAGCACCCTGTAACGCCTCAGCAGGGAGACAGACGTGGGAGGAGACGGCCAAGCAGGGCCCTACCCCGTCCCAGGCTGGGCGCCAGGCCTACCTGTCCACCAGAGCCTTGTAGCTGAGCACGCCAGAGATGAGGCTGGCTGCGAACCTGCAGGGACATGGAGAGACAGGAGGAGTCTTAGGAGTCTTGTGAGCCAGCTCTCCCTCCCCCCAACTCTCTCACTTTTCCTTTTTCCTTCCGAACTTCCTCCCCCCCCCCTTCCTTTCCCAGCCAGCGCCAGCGCGCTCCCCGCCTCTCCCTCTGCTTCAGACTCGCCCATCTATTGCCTGCCTTACACAGGCCCCCGTGTGCACTCACGGGGTGTGGGGCGTGCTGCCCCTCCCCCAGGCTGTCATTCCACCCCAGCCTCGGATTACAAATGGCCCTTGGGTGAGGGCTGAGAATGGCTTAGCTCTGGGGGTGGGGAGAGGAAGCCAGAATCACCTTGAGGAGGAAGAGGTGTCTGAAGGAGTGGTAGAGTGAGTGGCAGGAGAGGGAAGCTGAGGGGTGGGGTACCCCTGGGCAAGGCCAGCCCCTTGGCTGGATCTTCTGGGAAATGCTGTCTCCTGGGGCAAGCCTGCAATTTGGATCCTTTTAGTGGCTAATGAAAAGGAAAGTGAGTCCTGGGAGGAAAGCCTCGGGGACGGTGCCAGGGGACAGTGCTCTCTTAACTGGCCATGGATGACGAGACCTGACTTAATTGCATACGGGGGAAATGTCCCTCAGATGCAATTTGGAGAATTGTCTTCAGAATCCATCCATCCTCGTTCTTCCTTCTAGGGGAGAGGGGGGCAAGTGGGAGCCAGGCCTGGGCTGTGCCTCTGTTCACCCTATTGGGATAGTAAGAGGATGAAATTCTGACAGACTCCAAAAGGGGGGCCCTTCTCCCCTGCCCCTCGCCGCCACTGCCACCATCCTCAGTGCACCTAGAGGCCCTTCCAGCGGCTCACTGAGCTCTGAAATTGCAGCAGATGGCAGCTGTGCTGGCGGGGAGGGACGTCCCTCCTCCAGAAGTCTGTTTGGAGCAGGGCTCCAGGGGGCACAGGAAACTCTCAGACACCTGGAGCAGCATGTCCCAGCCGGGACTACTTTTAAATGACAGCTCACAGATCCAGCCGGGTCAAAACCACTGTGTGGGTCCCTGGGGTCCATGGCCCCCATTAGTGCCATCAAAAAAAAAAAAAAAAAAAAAGAATGTGTTTGGGGCAAGACTGTGTGTTTATTACTGAGCACTACCATGTCTAACCTCCCTCCTGGCCTGATGGTGCTGGGAGTTAATGTCCCGAGCCCCCGAAAGCTCAGCCAATGCACAAGCTCTGGCCTCTGCTTTCTGGCATGAGGTCAGGCCCCACATCTCGGGTGGGTTCCTCTGCTGCACACCCAGTGGCACCGTGGCCTTACCTTAGCTGGTCATTGGTGTCTTGGAAATGCTGCCGAGCAAAGATCACAGCTGGGCTAGAGTTGACTGGCAAGGCCAGGCGGTTATTGAGATACATGTCATTCAGCCAGTATTCAGATACCTGCCAGGGAGCACAGGGGAGGGGCACGTTACATCTGACCCCCTACACACCCCTCCTGATCAGGAGCTGTGCTAGCAGAAGTCATCAGTCCCATTGCGACTACCCTGGGTCAGCACCGCCCCCGCCCTGTGGATCCTTCAGTCATTCCACAAATGCACTAAGCTCCAGCTATGTGCTGAACCTGCAACTACCCAGTCTTCCAAGCCTGCCCTTCATCTCCACCCCATATTGTTCCCTTTATTCCTCCTCTGTCCCCATCTTCAATGATACATCCCTGCACTACCGGTAGGTCCTTGTTACGCCTCAGTCCTGCCTGTCACTGCACTCTGCCTTTTGAGCTCATCTCTATCCCCATCCTTCCACGTCCCTGTCCCTAGCTCTGGGCCCCATCTCTCCCAGTCTCTCACCTCTCTGTCTTCCTTCACCTTTCACATTCTGCGTCCCTCCCTCTCTTTCCCGTTATCTTCCATCCTGCCTGCCCCTCTCCTTTGTTATGCTACCCAACCTATGCTACCGGTCTGTTCCCCTCTATGGTCCAATCCCAATCTCCCCCCAATCCCACCCACCTATCGGCCTCACCCACATCCTCTCCTCTCCCTCCGTCCCCCACAGGGATCTCTTGTCAGCTTCTGTCCGGCAACCCTTACCCAGTTGGCTGTCTTCTCCTGCCTCTCCAAGAGCTTTTTCTGCAGGGTCTCACCCAGGCCACCAGGGGCCCCAAACTGCTTCACGATGGCCTGGCTTTTCCTGAACTGCTCCTCAGGTACCAGGTGCTGCATGCACTGCAGGTAAGTGGCCAGTGTCTGCTGCAGTGGGGGCACTGGCAATTTGGGTAGGTCCTGGAAAAGAGGGTTCATGGCACTCACTCCCCTTCCTTAATATGGCCCATACCTATCCTTGAGTTGACGCCAGGACATGTCCCATTCTGTCCCATCCACATTCCCCATTCTGGAACCTGTTTACCGGGCTTAGTTCAGCAGACTTGTAAATCAAAGGTCCTCCTGTTTGCTGTCCCTGCCCCTGTACTGTCCCTGGGTCTCAGGAAGGCACAGAAGGCAGATGACAGGCCCAGGTTCACACCCTGACCTTGCTTGGTCAGTTGTACGTCCTTGGGAAAGTCTCTCCCTCTGCAAGGGCCCAGCTCTTCATATGAAAAATGATCCTCTCACAAGACGGAAGGGATGACAGATGTGAGCGTGCTTACAGCCCGTAAAGGATGGGTCTGGGATGAAAGATCATTGGCGAGATTGCTGACTGCTGGTCACTCTTCATGGGGGAGCTCTTCCCAGCTGGTGCTCCAGGGTGTGTGTGCTCTCTTAGAGAGAGCCCCGTGGATTAAGACAGCTCTGCGTGGAGACATGGCTTCCTGGGGGTAGGGGCTAGCTCTGCCCTGTGCTTCTTGTTTCACACTTCCAGGTATGAAACCCAGGCAGAGGACTGGTTCCATGTGGGAACTGGAGCCACATAAGGAACAGTGGAGGTCTTTCCTGCCCAGATCTCTCCTCGAGTCATTTCACCCATAGGACACAAACAACAAATCTTCCTGCCTCCTGGACCCCAAGGGAACGAAAGAGAAAAATAATTGGTTCCCGTAGACGTATGTCAGGTTTGGTTAACTGGCCTTATCCCTCCAAAGGGAATTATGAGAAGAAGCCTGTGGTCTCTGGACTCCGGGTGAGGTGAGAGTCAGAAAGGAACCCCCCTGGACTCCTCCCACACGGGCATGGTGGGCTAAGGGTCTGTGTGCTTATGTCTTCATGTGTCACATAGCCAGGGTGGGGGGTTTTGTCAGTACACATGAGGAAACTAATCCACAGTGTGGAGAGACTAATCCTAGGTCACATAGTCAATGTGTTTTCTCCCCTCCTCTCCCTCCTCCCGTCGCCTCCCGACTCCCCTGCCCCACCACCATCCTTTGCCCTCCTCTCTCCCCTCCGCATCTCTCCCCTCCCCTCTCTCAGGGCCTTGCACACATTAGGCTGGCAGTCCTGTTGAGCTACACCCCCAGTTCACTCCTCCTCCTTTCTCTGGGATTTTCCTCTTCTCACAACCTTTCTGCTCTTCCCCCCTGTTTCCCTCTCTCAACCCTTGATAACAGAGAAGCAGATCTTTAATGCCTGCTGTTGCTTAAACTGTTGGCACACACAGCAGGGTGCCCTTCTTCGGGGATTCTTGTCTGTGAGGTGGTGAGTCAAGTTTCTGTAGGGTAGTTGAGGGCTCACCTACCCTGGTGGGCTGCTGAAAGCACCTGTCTTCTCCTGAGGCAGCCCTGGGTGTTGGCAGAAGAAGCACTGATGGATGAGTAAGTCCCACCTGTCTGATCCTGTCTCTGCAGCTCACTACTCTGGCTGGAGGTGGAGTGTCAGCACCAGCTTCTGGTGCTGCTGTCCTGGGGAACGTGACAAATGCAAGAGTGGGCCTGGCCAATGCCCCAGGTTGTTTAGCCGGCTTTAAGCAAGCCAGGTTGACCCCCCCCCCAGCCACTCTTGTTCCTCCTCTTATATTTATGGGGATCTGTGTGGATGGGGCAGGCAAATATCTCCAGAAAGCACAGAGCAAGCGGTGGTCTGGTCAAGAGTGGTGGCAGCTTTGACCAGAGTGTGCTGTGGTCCAGCCTGGGTGGAAGGGAAACAGTGGTGGGTAAGATGAACAAATCTCAGTTTAGGCATTTCAGCTCCAGGCATGGTTCCTCCCCTGACTGTTGTGGACCTCTGGCCTTGTGAAGACTCGGAATCCTGGAGTCTGCATGTTTCCTGGGTGGCTCCTATGAACCAGGCTCTGGACTGGTCTTAGAGACAGTGGAGAGACAGAGCCTGCCCTCCAGGAAGCTACATCCCAATACAGGGGAAGAAGAGGGACATGCCACGGGCTGTAGCAGCAGAAGCATGGGTCCACTATGGAACTTTGGGCAATGTAAGGAGCAAGTTCAAGGACAGAAGACGGAAAGTTCTGATAGGGCCAGGCGGAGGGGCGAGAAGGGTGTGGTAGAGGGACCAGCGCATGCAGGAACTTGAACTGAGATGCACTGCTCTATCTCTGGAAGGTTAGATGTAGCAGGAGGGAGGGTGCCTTCTCAGGGAGGCTGCCCAGGGAAGGTAGTGTTGTTTCAAAGCAGTGGAAAAGATGATGCCTAATGCTCCTGGGCTGAACTAGTGGCAGCAGTTGGAGCTGGGATGTGCCAGGGCTTGGGAAGGGGATTCAGCCTTGCCTAGGCAAGTACATTGGACTCGAAGCCATCTGAAGTAAAACTTGGGGTACAGTGAGGTTGGGAAAAGGTGAGGGAGATGGTGCCTGACTGGTGCCAGGGCCTCCCCCTTGGACTTCAGATTAAGAGGTATGGTCATCTGCGTTCCCCAGCAGCCTGAAGCTATGGCTGGCATGTAAAAGCCGCTTTTGCCCCCAAAGCCTTGACTCCTCATGTGGCCCACAAAGGAATGAAGAATGGGACGAAAGCCTGGCACCTCTGCTTTCATTTTGAATGTCCTCCACTTTGGGTCAGACTCCTGCCTGATTCTGCATGTAGGCATGATAACCACTCAAGGAGTATCTGTCTTTAAAAACAACAACAACAAACAAACAAACAAAAAACAACGAAGAGACAACAGCAGCATTACCTAACCTAACTCACCCCTCTACATGGCTGAAAGGACAAAGATAAGAGGAATTTAACGTAGCTGGGTGGTGGCAGTGCACACCTTTAATCTCAGCACTTGGGAGGCAGAGGCAGGTGGATCTCTGAGTGCAAGGCCAGCCTGGTCTACAGAGCAAGTTCCAGGACAGCCAAAGCTACCCAGAGAAATCCTACCCTCCCCCCCAGAAAAAAAAAAAACAAAATAAAACAAAGAGAAACTTAACCATCTCTCACAGATTTTCCAATGCCCCAGACCCTCCAGAGGTACCTAAACCTCTCCAGCCATTGTTCTAAATACCTTGCCCTTCCACAAACAGCACCATCTGAAGCCTTACAGAACAGACAATCCTTCAAATCAGGGTAATTATTCATAATAAGGAAGCTTCCTTCTGGACCAGGAAAACACTGAAAACCAAACTGCTTCCCCTGAATGGTCATAGAAGAAACTTCTTCTGACTATTTTGCGGAATCATAGCTGACATAATGACCAACCAGACCCCATCTTAAGTCTGGATCATGACTGTTTAATTGTATGTGTTTCTGCTCCTATGCCAATTCTTCCTCTAAAAACTCCAGTTTATGGCCAGGCCTTGAAGATAGATTTAGAATCCCTGGACTTCTTTACCTTTTCATCTTCCCAATGTGTCAATTGATTAAGTCTCTATCCTCTGCCTTTTTACCATAGTGCCAGCTTAATTGATATATTGAGGACAGATGACTCAGTCTAGGCTTTTGGAACTACTAGAACCAGAGCTGGGGCTTTTGCCTTAAAACTCCAGTAATGGGGCTCCTAGCCCTTCAGGCCCAATCAGACTCCTCTGAAGAACAGGATGGGGCTGCAGTCTGGCCTTTTGCCTAGGCTAAGAATGACACGGGCCAATCTTTTAGAGCTGTGGGGGTACATCCTCCGCCCCACTAACCCAAAACCTGCATAGATGCACAGTCAAGATTTCTACCAACCTACTCTTTATTTCCCCCAAGAGGCTAAAGCTGCTATTTAGCTTGTTGGACCAAGAGAATACAGAGCTGGGGGACAATCGAGGGGCCAGTGCCACCCAGGACTGTTCCGGGAATAAGAGTGTGTGAGAGGAGAGATCGGGGATAAGACACATGGATCAGAAAGTTACTTACCAGCTCCTCCTCACTGCTAGAAGGTTTGGCAGCCATCTTTTGGGGGACCTTTTCCAGGATGGGCATCTTGATGATTCTTGCTCCAGAGTAGCAGAACTATGGACCTTGGAACAGAGAAGAAGTGGTATCACAGAAAGCCACTTAGGCCAGAATGAATCCCTCACCTCCCATAGCCTTACCTCCATACTAGAAAGAGGCCAGAGCCTGACACTCGTGTGTAGGGAACTCAGTGCTGCTCTGACTGCTATCTCAGACCTCTGTCCTGTGCCCCTGACCACAGTGACTTCTCTGAATCCAGAGGCAGGGGGCAGAGGGGAGATGAGTCCTGCCTTGAGCCACCAGCTGGAACCTGCTTCTTGAAGCTGCTGTGACTCAAGGCTAGCTGACCACCTCAAGTAGCACTGGGAGGACCTGGGCTGGGCTTGCTCACTCCCAACCTAGCAGGATCAGAGCACTAGCTTTGGTTTGCCTGGAACTCACCTGATACACACTGTGCTGGTCTCAATTTTTACCCAAAACCGTAGCTCCTCAAGGGCAAAACTATACCAACTGTGTTCAGATTTTCCTCTAGGATGCCTGACCTGGGTCAGGTATGGAGTAGAGAGGATGTGAGTTCAGAAAGCTCCCTCCTCACCTGTGTGTGTTTGAATGTGTGTGTGTGCATGCTTGAGTGCCCTCCAGTCTTCTAAGGCGCTGAATTCTGTGTGACATTCTGGGCTGCTTGAGGACTCTGGGGTCTGCTAGCAGAGTGGTGACTTGGGTAGTCTCTGGTACCATGGGAATATGGAAGGACACGGTACTGAAAGATAGGTAGTCAAGACCTCTTAGGGTCTCTGACCTGGGAAAGGCACATTGATTTGGAAGGTGCAGTAGAAATAAACTAGGCTGAGAATGACAGGGGCCAATCTTTTAGGGCTGTGGGGTACATCCTCCACCCCACTAAACCAAAACCTGCACAGACGCACAGTCAAGATTTCTACCAACCTACTCTTTATTTCCCCCCAAGAGGCTAACACTGCTGTTTAGCTTGTTGGAGCAGCAGCAGCAGCAGCAGCAGCAGCAGCAGCAGCAGCCTCTCTCAGAGCCAAGCACAGCCAGGTGCTGGCAGAAGGCTCAGCTCATCCTGGGGAGAGGCCAATCAGAAAGGTGGAAGAACCAGACTCAGGGATAGAAAAGTCTGGGAATGCCTGGCCCCACTGAACAGAGAACGTAAAGGCTTTGGAGGTTTGCACAGGCACTCCCAATACAATAGTCCTTGAGCCCAACCGTGCCCAGAAATTGCCGATGAAGATGTGGATGTTCTGTTGATTACTTTGAGGGGGTCAACCAAGCCAAGGTCAAGTTGATAAAGGCTCTACAGATTATTCAGCCAATGCTTCCTCTTGTGCCATCTAAGGAGTGGGAAGGGGAAAACACTGGCCAGCCTTCAGAGGACTTCTTATCTTGGAGAGGAGAATGGACCCCTGCCAGCTGCCATGCTGATGGGTGTCCCCTTGTCTTCCCCAAGCCCCGGCTCCTTCCTCCTTACCTCCTTTGCCCAGGCTTAAAGAGTTTGTATGTGTTTATCTTCCCCTGGTTTGGTACCGTCCCATTTCTGCTTCTGCTGGCTTGGCATGTGGGGGGCTACTGGGAGAGGTCTCTGCTCTGCCATGAAGGCCACCACCAGTCTGATCTGGCTGCCCAGGCTCTCTGTGCTTCCACTCTTGCAGAAGTATCACCTGGCCCTCTGGCACTCCCTACCTTCCCAAGGATGGTTGGAGAAAACTGGGGCCCAGGGATGACAGCAACAGCCCCTGGTATTGGACACCAAAACCACAGACCTTGGGCTTGGTAGATGGTAGGTGAAGTAAAAATAACATAGGTGGGCGGGTAAAGATGAAGGGAGTCCTCAGCCCTGATTATCAAGCCCTCCCAGCCCAGGCATCCGGGAAGCAGAATCCCGCAGTCTCCTGAATGTACCCCGACGACCACTGGTGCCTGGGACGCTGAGGACTCCGAGAGTCTCCTGGGAGCTGTCCCTCCGTGGACAGCTCCTCCGGAGGGACAGTGCCTGCATCTGAGGCGCTCCGTGGCTCAGCTCTTCGCGCCAGCAGCCAGCGCACGGATGCCCAGCCCTCCTCACCTGCTCTCCTGGGCTGTTCTGCGCCGAACCGGCGCTGCTCCACACCAAGCAGGGCTGTAGGCGGCTGTGTGAGCCAGAAGGACCAGGGAGGGGGTGGCAGCAGCGTCAGAGATTGGGGCCGCTGCCTAGGTCCGTAGTAGAGCCTCCGACGACGACGTTGCCGGGTCCCAGCAGCCGCCCTACTGACAGCAATCAAACCAGCCCCACCTCTCTCAACTCCCTCCCCTTCCTCCTCCCTCTCCTTCTCTTTTTTTCCCTCCCCCGTCCCTCCCTCCCTCTTCCTCCTCACTGTCCTCTGCTTCCCCCACCCCACGCCCCGCCCTGCGATTCCCTTCTTCTGTCCTCAAAACCTGTCTCGGACAGCTTCCCGGATGAGTTCGTGAGCTGGCATCGCAGTTAGGCCCTGGAAAGGGGCACAGAACATTGTCCTACTAATGCCCATCGCTCCCCCGGAGCCTTCGACAGTGCCCATTTGTATCCCCCATCCCCATGGTCTCCTGTGTAGCTGCTTATGGAGAACCCTGCAGAGTGTTTGGGTCAGAAGAAAATTTGCCCCTCCTAACAAGCTAGACCAGACTGGGACCCTGCTGCAGCCCTTTAAATATTATAATTAATGACTGTGTTGGCCATTCGGGGACCTCCTTTCCTTTCTTTTACCATGGCATTCCTGCAGGCTCTTTGGGGAGGGAGGAGGAGACAAGGGAACATAGACTTGGTCCACTCTGATGGCAGGCAGGGATTGTTTAGGGACTCAACCAAAGGCCCACAGACACTTCTCCCAGGCAAAGTACCCCCCTTGTTCATATATATATCACAAGCAGACCCACAGACAAGACAGACAGACAGACAGACAGACAGACAGACAGACACACACACACACACACACACACACACACACACACACACACACCAGTACACACATACAGCTTACCCCAACCCAACTGCTTCTCCACTCTGAAATCTGAGGGCTCCACGGACAGACAGCAGGATCCAGGAATGGGTGTACTGCCTACAGCCTGGGCCTCCACCATGGGAAATGAAGGATGGGAAACTTCCCTGATATCCCTGAATGGCTACTTTTATTCAGGACAGGGAGGGCTAGGGATTGGCACCAGCTCTCACATCCACATTCCTTCCCTTCTCCATTCAAACTGGCATGACTGAGAAAAGTCAGACCCACAGGCGACTGGTCTCCCCTTCCTCAGATAATAGAGCGTAGCTCCTTAAGGAACACTGCCCCCAGGCTGGAACCCTCAAAGCTGAGGACTGCCTCCCCCTTCTCTGCAGAAAACAGCCCCCTCCTGCTCCCTTCTTAACAAGATGAGATGAAATCCCAGTGTGTAGGAAAAGCCAGTTCAGGCATCAAGAGCTTCTGGTACCAACTGTCCTCCAAGGCCAGGCACATCCTCAGGCTCCCTCGGGTGGAACCTCCAGGTGCTGCACTGAGCTTGGAAAGGGGGACTATGGTGTGTGTGTGTGTGTGTGTGTGTGTGTGTGTGTGTGTGTGTGTAGGTATCCATAGGGAGAGCCCTATTTGAACTTGTTTTCTTTTTCTAGGCAGCAAAGGAGCCTATGGGCTCTCATTCCTCCTCAGGCCTGGATTGAACCTGTGAAACCCAGACCAGCCATCTCTCCGCTCAGGTTTTGTGTGACACCACCCACCCATCAGTAAAGAGACGGCCTCCTCAGACAGATATGGTTTATTAATTCAGGCCGGAAGCACCGGGGTGCAGCAGATCAAGTTTGGCACTGGAAAGATCCGCAGGAAGGACAAACAGTTGCATGACTATTTTGGGGCACTCGGTCGGTGATTGGAGATCACCCCGCACACCTCTTCACCTCTGCCAGGAGCCCAATAGCTTCTCATGCCTCCCTGCTCCATTCCCTCAACGGATTAGACAGTGTGTATGGGAAGGGGGTTAGATTGAGATGGGTCATGGAGAAGGGATCCCAACAAGGGAATTCAAGACTGGAGAGGGTACTAGGGTACTCGCTGAAGGAGGTGGGCCCCGAGCCATAGTTGGCCAGTGCTCTCGCAGAATGCCCACCTTGACCTAAACGGGGAGAGCAGGTGGCCTGGAGGAGAAGCGGGTCTGCTAGCTGCGAGTGTAGTAGCTGTAGTCATCCTCGCACCCATCAAAAGGGCCAGGCGGGCTGCAAGGTTCGCCGCCGTCCGTGCCCTGCACCGAACGCTCACGCAGGCGCACCGCGTCGTACAGACCCTGCGGAGGTTCATCAAGCAGCACATCGCGCTCAGAACGCGAGCGTGTGAGGAGGCCCACGTTACGCAAGAGCAATAGGACCGGTGCATAGAGCAGGTTGGCCAGGCCCATGCCAAGACTGAGCTGCTCAAAGCCAAGCGAGTGAACGATATGGCCTGCCACTATGGGCCCGAGAGCATAGGCCACAGAATAGGAGATGTCAGCTATGGCATAGACGCTGCCATAGACTGATACGTGGCGCACGTCCACCAGGAAGGCGAGCGTGGGTAGCAGCGCCGTGTCCACTAACGCGATGCCGAAGCAGAGGCCGCAGAGCGAGACGACTAGCGGCGCGAAGGAGCGGCAGGCAGGCATGATGCACGAGCTCACTCCAATCACCGCTAGCCCGAGAGCGCCATACAGCCACTGCAGGTGTGGATAGCGCGCCGCTAGGCGCACGGTGAGATAGACGCCTAACACGTGCGGCACAAAAGCCGGCAGCCAAGCCATGCCCATCTCCCACTCGGATGCCGCCATTGTGTGCTTCATCCATGTGGCGATGGTGGGCTCGAGGAACGCGAGGGGAATGTTACAGGTCGTGAGCGCGCCGGCTACCACAGCGATGTAAGGGTCCAGCATGAGGCGATGGATAGGGGTGCCCACAGGCAGGTTGGCCCGCGCCCGAGCCGCCGCCGAGAAGGGCTTAGCCACCGCCAGCAGCAGCAGCGCGTCGAAGAGCGACACGGCAGCTAACACTAGAAAGGGCACGCGTTTGCCGGCGAACTCGTAGAGGATACCCCCAAAGGGTGGCGCCACCAGACTTCCAAAGCTGATGAAGGCCAGCGCCACGCCCAGGGCACGACTGCGCTCAGGCTCCTCCGGATACTTGTCGGCGATCATGGCAATGCCAGACGTGTCCGCGAAGGCTGAGCCCAGGCCTTGTAGACTGCGCGCCGCGAAGAGCGTGGCATAGTCCTCTGCGAAGGCAAACATGACTGTAGAGGCGAACATGACGCCCAGGCCAATAAGCAGTGGCACGTCGTAGCTCATGCGATCAATGAAAGGCCCGCTCAAGGGGTTCACCAGAAGCTGCAGGATGGCCTTGGAAGCAAACAACACCCCTATCTTCACATCTTCACTTTCTGTAGGGTAGCGAGGCCGCAGAATTGATCGGGTAGACCCAGCAGCCGTCGGGGACGCCGAGGTGTTGCCCAAGTAGGCACTGGCATTAGCCAGAGTGGGCGGCGGCAGGGTGGGTTCCCACACCTCAGAGACCAGGGTAGGGCTCTCGCTGCCCCCTCGCATGTGGGCGATATAGTCGGGAACAATGGGCACGATGACCATGTACAACATGTTGTCCAGTAACAGTGCAACGCACACGATGACCAGCACGAGCCGTCGCTGCCTCTGGGGCTCTTGTAGCGCGGCTCCCACCGCTTCTGACAGCTTGGTGGCCGCCGCCCGGGCCTGCCCCGTTGGCGCGGTGGATTCCATGCCCCCACCCGCTGCTCTTCCGAAGACGCCTCTGCCGGAGTCGGGTGCCGGCGTCCCGCAGTGCAGAGGCTAGGGTATGGGACTTCGGGGGCGCGGTCCTAGCCGCGTAGCGCCCCCTGTGCTTCAGGTGGCTGTGGGGCTCATATCCCTGAGCTCAGAGAAAAGCAAGGACTGTCCCGCGCGGCGCCGCTGCTCTTAGCTGCTCCAGGGACCAGTTGCCGATGTTTCAGGTGCAGCCGCGGAGGCGGGCAAGCAGAGGGGCTGAGGCGGGAGACTGGACGCGCGGTGCCCAGAGAGCGCAGGAGCAGCCCCTGCCAAGCAGAGAGGCAGTGTGCGCCCGCCCAGGGGCATGCTGCCACCACCCGCCGTCTCTCCAGCCCCGCCGCCGCGCTCCCCACCCCGCGCGTCCGCTCTTGCCTCTTTCTCCGCCGCCGCCGCCTCTCTTTTTTTTTTTCTCCTTCCACTTGGGGCTATGACGCGGTGAGTCTCGGCCCCCGAGTGATGCCCCGGCCACTGGCGTGGCTCATGCTAATGCGACGTCGTCGGGGCGGGGGCCAGGGGCGGGGCGCGTCCGGGCAGGGGTCCGCTTCCCAGATGAGCCCAGGCTGGAAGCCAGGGGAAGGGGTCTTGGGGAGCAAGAGTCTTAGACAAGCCCCTGGGGATGGGTGCGCCGTGGGAGGAACCGGCTCTCTATTCCCCCCAATTCTGGGACCTATAGGGGTGAGGCCCCGTTCTTCCCTACTTGGTAGGAGGGGTGCGGCAGCTGGTTCCCCGCAGCCTGGTGGGAGATGGGACAGCCGGGGGCTCTAGACCTCCTCCTCAGCCTGGACCTCGGCGCACAGCGGGCATGGAGCCCCCGAGGTGAGCCGTGCTGCCTCCATCTGTTCTCACAGCTGGAACGCGCAGCCGGGACCCTGGGGCACAGCGCGAGCAACCCCCTTCCTCAACCCCGCCCCCAGCCCCTCTCGTCCCCCTCCTCCGGGAAGGGAGGGGGGAGGTACATAGACTTCAGGGTCTGATTCCGACCCACCTGCCCTTGGGCAGAATGTCTTGGCAGCGATTTCCCGACTGTGCGCGTGTGAGGACTGAGGGGAGGAGTCGTTCCCCGCACCCAGGGTCCTGGACGTCAGCGCTAACCCTTTTTGACCCACCCCCCATCCCCCGCCTGGATTCTCCCTTTCCGCTTTCCCGGGCTCGGGTCCCCCTCCCATTCCCCCCGCTCCCCGCCTCTTCTCCCTTTCTCCTCTCCTTCTCCTCATTCTAACTCCTCCCAGGTCCTCTTCTCTCCAGACCAAGCCCTCCCTTGGCTCTGGCGAGCCTCCGCCCACTTTTCTGCATAACCCCCTCCCCCCTCAGCCGCCTCCAAGCCCTGAGTGGGCTCACAAGTGGTGTGGCACTACTAAGAAGCCCTGCATGGACGCCTCTGGGGCTCACGTGGCAGGGCCTCCGCAGCTTTGCTGTCAATAGAGGCTCGAGAAGGCTCACCTTCCTTCCGGGAGGGT